AAATGATTATTTTTATTATACTTTATTATTTTGGGCAGTAATCTAATCAACTTGATTCTTATGTTATTAAAATGGTGATGAAACAGAAGTAGCAGTAGATATTTTCTTCTGTATTTGGACATACTGCACATCTGTTTGTTATTGATTATCAAAAATCAAACTGTAGGGCGGGACTTGGTTCTGTTTTTCAGTTGTTGATTGGATGTTGAGATGTGGGTGTGGCTCTTAAAAGAGCTTGCAGGGACAAAGTTTAAAGGGATAGTTCACCTTTAGTTGCTGGTCCCCACTGACTAGTATGAAAAAAATCACTATGCAAGTCAATGGGGACCAGCAACTGAAGGTGAACTATCTCTTTAAGAGCATTAAATGATTGGAAATCAGAGATAAGACTGGTGCTATCATCGGAAGTGATGATATTTTGTGTTCAAGAGTGTACTCTCCCACAGATCCACTTGGGTCTCAGAGTCAGCACGCTTTATCTTTGACTTGTTAATGTCTGTTATCTGTTGCAGAGCTTATGGGATCAATAAAGAGGGAATCTGCAAATAGCTCAATCAATATCACCCTTCAGCTAAAGTGCAATCTACTTGTGGACAGTGTCTGTTCACGAGCGGCGAGCCGATCCTCGCAGCGCTCCTGTGTCTGCATACACTGAAGCAAACCAAGTCACTTTCAGTGCGCTGGCTACAAATGGTTTGAATCTTCTTTCTTCAAGACAAAACACAGAATCTACTAGAATACACATGAAAACTCACATTTGAAGCTTGTCATTTTGACTTACGTAGTTAGCGTGGAGGACAGAGAAGAATTCTGGGTGCGTCACAAACTTCACGGCTGGACACTGAAGCAGCAGCGTCACGTTCTGATTATTCACAGGAGATGAAGGACCTTCTCTGCTCTGATCTACAAACATCACACACACACACACACACACACACACACGTTGGCTTATTTAAAGGAATAGTTCAGCCAAAAACAAAAATTTGCTGAAAATTTATTCATGTTCACTGATGGACTGGAGTGCTGTGGATTACTTGTGGATTATTGTGATGTTTTTATCAGCTGTTTGGACTCTCATTCTGACGGCACCCATTCACTGCAGAGCATCCATTGCTGAGACACTGATGCAATGCTACATTTCTACAAACCTGATGAAGAAACAAACTCATCCTGATCTGGGATGATCTGAGGGTGAGCACATTTTCCAAAATTTCAGCATTTTTCCTTTAAGCTTGGAACAGTACAGAATTACTAATCAATAAATGCATCCAAGTTGGAGTTTAGAAGATCACCTCTCTTCAGTCTACTGGTTTCTACAAGTATCTCACTTTCTGGTTGAATTTCAAATTGAAATACATACATTTTAACTTAAAATTCAGGATCTATGACACATGATGTGTTTTCTGGCAGCCTCTCTGCTAACACAGAGCTCTGCAACTGCTCAAAACTAAACACTCAATTTATTCTCATCAAACAGCATCGAAAGAAAGGCCCGCCTGGAGCTTGTGTAGTGGATTCAGTGTCTGTGTCTCCTGCGCTGTTTCTCTCAGGTCCGCGGCCGGCCGGTTCGTCTTCGGTGGCCATCGTCCTCTGGATGTTCTGATACCTGATGACAAAACAACATTGTGCTCAAACTATCACTGTTCTTAATGGAAAACAATGTGCATCTTTATATGAAGAAAACTTATGAAAAGCATCATGTTGTTTTTTTTTCATTGTGACAATAAGCTCAGAACAGTGTGTTTGCCACAATTCCTCAAGTATTATTCACATACTCTGCATTTTATGAGAGGATTGCTCTCTTTTTGATAATGTGAATTTATTTGTTTAATATTATTTAAGATATTATTTAATATCTCGATAATACATCAATCAAAATTATTTGATTGATTATTTATTTTTACATATTATTTAACGATAATAACAATAAATTTTGCTTATTTTATAGGAATTTTAAAGCTTCTCTTTTTTATGAATTTCAAAGATGAATAATAATAATAAAAAAAGCTACCTGCATGGTATTGCAGGTAAAATTGTCAAAAAATTAATTTACATTGATGATGTAAGTAACATCTAAATTTTTTTTTAAAGAACTATACTCTTCTGCTCACCAAGGCTGCATTTATTTGATCAGAAATACAGTAAAAAAAAATCAGTAATCACTGTTCTAATCTACACTATTTGAAATCTTTTGTAACATCATAAATGTCTTTACTGTCACTTTTGATCCATTTAACATAAAACCTCATATGCTCCTGTTAGCTGTAGTGTTACACAGACAGATTCAGTGAGTGTCCTGTAGGTGGCAGCGTCAGCTCAAATATACTTGTAACTGTTTTTGCTCCATTCATTCCAACCTGATCAATTCACTAGCATGACAACAACACATTTAAAAGAGTAGCTTTATAGAAAAGACTAGAAAATATTCTACAGGGCTAAAAATAAACACATAAAGTCACCATATATGTGACCCTGGAGCACAAAACCAGTCATAAGGGTC